AGGCCGACGCGCTGCAGGAGCGGGCCAAGGGCAAGACGCGCGAGGGCGCCGAGGAGAAGCTGACGAGCGGCGACCTGCTCTCCAACCGCAGGATGGTCTCGCTGCTCCGCGCCGCCTTCCCCGGCCTGCAGGTGCGTCCCGCCGGGCCCGGGGCGGGGGCGGGGAGCACCTAGGTACAAAGGGAGGGAGGTGCACGGAAGGACAGTCGGGGAGGTAAGTACAGGGTTCGGATGACACTGGGACTCGGGGGAGGGTCTGCGAAAAAAGTTAAACCAGTTCATTGATGAACAAATCCACCTAAGTGAAGGAGCAATCCAGTAAGAGTCCCCCCCCCCCCCCTTTATGATTTTCAACTCTTACAGGGGGCCTCTTGTCTCTTATGGGGGACTCACCCCCCAAGCTCCCCCTTAATTTGCACCTTGAATAAATAAGTAGATTGGTAGGTAGGTAGGTAGACAGATGATAATTTGTCTGTTTATCAGCTGTCTTTCTGTCTACCTACCTACCTACCTACCTCAGGCCTAGTTGAGTGTGGGGCCCCAAGAGCCCTGGAGGTGGGTCAGATAGATCTACCTACTTACCTACCTTCTGTATTTCTATCTGTCCCACCTCCAGGGCTCTTGGGGCCCCTCTCTCCACTAGGCCTGCAGGGTAAGTAGATAGGTGGGTTGGTAAGTAAGTATGTAGACAGAAAGATAGTCATGTAGGTAGGTAGACAGCCTCCCCCTGCACCACCTCAGGGGCTGTTGGGGGTATTTCCCTCAGGCCTGTGGCTCCAGGCTTTGTCACATGTTCATTTTAGACAGCTCGGGGAGCTCTTAACCCCCCACAAAGAGGCGGAAGCCAGCTTTAAGCACCCATTGGGCATCAATGTGAATCCTCATTACCCGACTCCAATGTGTGGCTGCTCCCCAGAGATGAGCTGCCCGCACTTCAGTCCTTCAGCATCCCAGGATGCAGTGTCCCCTGTCCCTTACCATCCTGTTCTGTGTGGGCCACTCACAGCTGCTTGCCAGCCCGCTAGTGACAAGTCACTGCTCTGCAGATTGGGGGCAGTCTAAAGGTTTTTAGGCTGAACATGTGACTAGTCTAAATTTGAGTTAAACGTAACACCAGTCAACATCTGAGAAGCTTAAAATGCAACATGTAGTGGGGCTGCAGAATACGCTCTGATGCCATCAAAAAGGCAAAGATAATGTTGGGATTATTAAGAAGGGAATTGTAAACAAAACTGGAAGTATCTTGATACCCCTTTATAACTCTGTGGTGTACTCGCACCTTGAATACTGTGCCCAGTTCTGGTCCCCACACTTGAAAAGGATAGGGAAGAATTAGAGAACGTCCGTAGAAGGCAACAAGGTTGATCAGTGGCATGGAGGGGCTTCTGTATAAAGAGAGACTCGAGGCTAGGCCTATTTGGAAAAGAGATGCTTGAGCGGGGGGGACATGATCAGGGTTTACAAAATAATGAATGGTGTAGAGAAAGTCAGTAGGGATTTGTTATTTACTCTCCTCGCACAATACAAGAACTAAGGGTCACAAAGGGAAGCCAGTAGCTAGTAGGTTTAAAAACTCACAAAAGGAAGCTCTTGTTAAAGTGTAGGACTCCTTGGCAGCAGATGTGAAAGCTGACAGTGTAGCCAGATTCAAAACGGGTTTGGATACATTTTTGGAGGAAAGGGGCATCAGTAGCTATTGAGCATGGGAGTTAGGGTTACAGCCTCTGATTTGGAATTTTTTAAGTCTTAAATGCTAGAGACTGCAAATGAGAGAGAAACAGTGGGGACTGGGGGGGAAAGGGGGGAACCCATGTCATACCCAGTTCACTTTCTGTTCAGCGTCTGCTCTGCCACTGTGTGACACAGGCCTATTAGTCACATAACAGGAGCATAGGTATTGCACCCACAGAGGAGATGGTTAGCCCTGCCCTTTGTTAGAGGGAGGCTATCTGGTGTTTGTCCACTGATTACTTGGGACAGTGTAATGATAGCAGGGACAGGAGTGAGGGTCAAAAGTGCTCCAAGGGGGAATCCTGAGCGCAGACCACACTGGCCAGTGCCAACTGGCCCTCTAGCAAGTCCAAGGAGCCAGTGGACACTGTCCAGTGAACCTCTGCCCAGAGACATGATTGAATATGGGACAGGAAAATGGCCCTGCAGTCCCCAGGGCCGGGTCCTCCTTGCTGGAGCCTCCATCCTGGTTAGATAGATGGCAAGCTTGATGGGCTTGGGGATAGGGAGTATATACAGCAAAAGGTGGGGCGAGTAGTACAGCCAGAACCCCAGCAAGCTGCGTGACACAGAGCTTTTGATTTGCCATTCCAGAACATAGGCCAAAGCCCAGCAATTAGAACTATGAGCCCCCCTATTAAGGGCACGTCACTGATCACTTGGGACATAAAAAACAAAATAGGGATGGGAGTGCCCACTGACCCTTAAACAAGTCCAAGGAGCCAGTTTAAAATTAGAAAAAAAATACAGCTCATCTTCAAATGACTTCTTTTTATCGTTTTTGCAGCATTTTTCATCTGTCCTTCCATGGTGGGCTCAAGCACAGTATGTTATGATGGGTGTGCTCTGACTAGCTCTCTGTCATTTAAGTTGAGGAATTAGATTTGGCCTGTATAAACTCATATACAACTTGAGATACCTTTGTTTTGGTTTTTTTTCCCCATAGCTGTCAAACACCTGCATCTCTCATTGACTTCTGAAAATTGGGCCCTAGTGTCAAGTCAGGTACCCAAATCAGAAACCATTCTAGAATATTTTGGCTTTTGAATAGCTAGGAAGAAGAAACAGTATCAAATGAGGCTTCGGGAGGAACTGGCAGTTACAGGGAAAAATAAAGATAATAGATTTTTTGTGGCAGATTATAGCCAAAGGGAGAAAAAATTTAGCTTATTCCCTGATGCATATAATCCTGAGGAAACATGGGTTTCATTCCTTTAAAAGTAAATTTAACAGTTTCGTTGGAGCTAGCAACTTGGCTTTTATCTCCTGTCCATTGATAAACGAATACCTTTAACAAATCCCTTGAAGTTAAATTGAAGTGTTTTGAAATTCTTACAGAAAGTGCTATAGTGACAAGTACTATTATAAATTTTAAAGATCTCGTAATTGCTTTCAACTTGTCAAAGACAACCAGGAAGCAAAAAGTGTTAAGCATCTATTTTATACCAGTATCGCGCACACAGGCAGGCCTAAGAGTAAGAATTTGACACCAGTTTTGTTAACTTCTTACGCTTCATCCCATTTACAGACTTTAAAGAGCTAATGCATTTTAATTTTTCACAGTTACAGTGTAAATTGAAATGATGTACTTTGAGGGGAAGGACATCTGAGAGAACTTGCCTGCCTGCCTGCCTTATTATATGTGACTGCATATATTGTGTTCTCTCTCCTTCCTTTTTTTCCACTTAATACATCTAACAAAAATTATTAAGAACATAAAGAAAATATTTGGGGTCTTTTATTTAAGTCATTGACTTCATGAAGCCTAGACCTTATTTTTTGAGTGGTATATTAGCACAGTCAAATGCAAGATCTGACAAGGACTCAGTTGTTTGTTAGTTTTGACAAAATCTTTAAAATGCTTAGTCTTTCTGAATGTGCCACGTGACACATTCAGTAAGGAACCAAAAGGAAACCCAGTGTTTTCCTAGATGTACAGTGGTGTGAGCTTTCTTGAGAGCATACCCTGGGCTTCGCACAGATGCTGAACAGATGCAGAAGGCTGCATACTGGGGACTTCCCCTGAGTCTAGGGACAAGGTTTCTCTTTTGTATGTATAGAAGGAATGGAGGTGGGGACATTCAACAGTTGGTTCACTGGCTCTGCTGTCCTTCCCTCTGTCCACCACCAAACCATAGCTCTGCAGATGCTCCTGGAAGCCAGGTGCCTGATGAGACTCATACAGGTGTCTATATCACTGCATGGTTCCCAGAAATTCTCACTGCTTTTGGAGAATTTCATTAGTTCCCTTTTTGAGAACTCAGTGCAGCTGATTAAAAAGAGGGGATCAGACACTGCCTCAAAGTGTGAACTTTCTGAACTAGGCTGTTGATTGCTTAATACCTTATTGGTGGCCAGCAACCTGCTTTAAATCTGCTGCTGGATTGACCCAGTCTGGATTAGTGGCAGATAGGCAGGCACTAGGATCCAGCTGCAGCTGGTACTTTTTCCCCTCCATGACAGCACATGGAGAGTGGCTGGAGCCAAAGCTTCCCTTTGCCAAAGGCTGCTGATCCTGTAGGCTGGATCAGATGGCTCTGTGGGCTGTAGATTGCTGACCCCTGCCTTACGTTGTCACGTATGTGCAAATTGTGGTCATAATGTTAGCAAATAATAATGGTGGCATTTTACATTTGCTTTTCATGGTTGCTTACAGCTACATAATATGTGTCACAATAGAGAATGGACACCTTTGTCTACATCTTGGTAGTTGTTAACTTTGAAAACTCTTCCTCAAAACTTGTTTGTTTGCCATTATGCAAGATTTTGGGTTTTGCCGTAGTTACCTAGCATTACACAAGCATCCTGTGGTAAGAGCAGGGCTAAGGAACTAGTAAACCAGTTACATTTGCTATAGGAAAAACTTTGCATGTCCAGCCAAATACATTTTAACTGACATTTGTGCTCTCCAAAAGAAGTGTAGTGCTTTTTGTGGAAAACAGTAGAAGTCTGGAATCTTTTTTGGTCAGATTTATCACCCAGAATATTTTCTCCTTTTCCCACACTCTTCTCAATAGAAATTCCAAATTAAAAACTTCTGTTAATTTTATTTTTAATACAAGTTGATAGGAAAGTGTGCTTGAAGACATTGCATTGTAAACAAAGATGTTATTGAAAACAGTAGAAATTGCAGTCTAATGTGCCAGAAAACTTAGAATAACTGAAGTATATATTAACCTTATCTATTTAGCTCATACTTTCTGCAGATCTTTACATAGGTGTGAGATATCAAAAGCTTTGATACATACAGCTGTATGCAGTCTAGAGAATTGGACACTCTTAACAATTCCACATTTCCTAAAGACATGCTATTTTTGTCCAGTTTCTTGAGCAGTTTCTCATGTTGCGTGAATCCTGTTAATGCGTGTAGTTCTCTGTGGATCCTTTCTTTGCAGGGTAGG